GAGCCGCCCCGCTCGGGCCGCGTCCTCGCCCGGGGGACGCCTCCCCGGAACCTGCTGCTCCGCCCGTTCGCGACCCTCCCCGGCCCGGTCCGCGCCGCGCTCCGCCAGCCTCCGGGGGTCGTTCCCCCAGCGGGCCCTTCTTGCCCAGCCTGGGGACGCCCGGGGTTCTCGCCCTCCGATCTGAGCTGCCCACACGCCAGTGCCCCTCGCGCCGTAGGTAGGACATCTCCCTTGCCATCCCCACCGCCCGCAACCTGGCTTCCAAACTGGGGCGTGTGGGTTTCTCCCTCCAGAATGGGCGAGCCGTGGAGGGACATTAAGTAGGGGAGTCGTTTTCAGATTTGCGTTTTAGAAAGATCGTTCGGGCTCCTGCGAAGAGGAGGGGCTGTAGGGGGCTGACACCGGAGACGAGGACAGAAGTTCTGAGGCTACCGCAATGGCCCGGGTGAGATTTGGGGTCTCGACGAGAGCTGGGGCCGCAGGGATGGAGGAGTGGATCTGGATACTTGGGAGGGGAAGGGAATGGAGTGACTGGATTGGGCGGCGAGGGTGAGGAAGGTGTCTGGCGTGGACAGTGCGATGGGTGGAGGAGGGCGAGGTCTGGAGTGAAGGGGGCCTACAAACTCAGTTTTGGTTTTGCCTGGGTTTAAGGTGCCTGCTGGACAGGGCCCAGGAGAGAAGTAGCCGGGAACCACAGACCGTGGAGTCCTGAGAATGTAGTGGAAGCTGCCGCCTTGAGGACGGTAAGATTATCCAGCCAACCTGCCCCACCTCTGAACTGATTGAGACAGATGTCAAGGCCGGAATTCGACAAAGCCCTTTCTCTCTCTAGCAGTATATTTGGGCAGCATGTGGTCTGGTATACCCTGCAGGCTTCACCAATTCCTTTTGCTATTGCATTCCCGCCTGTGCAATCAGTATGTTCAACATGTTCATCCAAGCGTTGCACTTGGATGAATTGGACGGACCTACAGTTGCTCTTTAAAGTGATCACCTATATATATGCGTATTCGTTCCAGTATTGAGTGACTTCTATGTTTTGGGTCTCATAATTTCTCCTTTGGATTACTCTAATAACCTTTCTCACACTTATTGCTTGATTCCTTAAAACTCATGGTCGGTGGGATTAGGGATAACTTGCTAACTTTTCATTTTTCTTCACGGGTGTAATTAAAACTACGAAAAATATTTTTCCCGTTGTGTAGTAGTGAACCACCCTTTGCTCCTCATACCACACGGTTCAGATAAAGTCGAGCTGTCCCCAGCTCCGAGAGTGGTCACATGACCCAGGTCTGGCCCATCAGGCAGGATTGGTTTGGGTTGGTCACATGATCTGAGCCAGCCCACTGAGAGTTGGTCTAGAGACGCGTCCGGCACTAAGGAAAAGAAACGGTCCTTGGCCACTGAGCGCCTGCGGCTGGCTGCCACCTTTGTAATCATGTGCACAGCACCCATTTTGGAAATGAAATAGATACAAAAGGAGTTGTTGAGAGACAGATGTTTACCACTGTTTGTCAAGTAGTGCCAGAAATGAGCACTAAAGTCATTTTAGTTGGTTGGGTTGTTACTTGTAAGAGACCCACGTTAAACTCACTGATTTGTATTTGCCGAATTCCTCTTTTATTGAAAATCAGTACTTTTGCTTATCTTCAACCTTCCTCTTCTTCCTAATTTCACGATCGTTCACATTATTATTGTTATTTTGGACCGTCACTCTGCCCTAGTATCCAGTATCCTCCCCTCCGTGTCTCCACACTGCTGTCAGAGCCCATCTGAAGTGAAAACCTTCCATTATTTGCTTATCTAAAATCCTTCTGACCCTCCATCACCTACTGGCAAAAACCCAAGTTCTTTCATATGATTTAACCCCTACCTACCTGTCCGACTGAAATCCACCCTTCAGTAATACTGGACGGCTGGTACCTCCCTGTACAAACTACGCCTCAAGCTTGCTTATGTGGTTGCCCATCTTATAAGCCGGCTCAAGCCTTGTCTTCTCCAGGCAGCCACCTCTGATGGCCCCACAGTAAACTCAGGGGCCCACAACTTATGCATAACTTTTACTGCACATATGGCAATCAGAGAACTCTACCAATTTATGTAGGTGTCTGTTTTTCCCAGTGGTCCCTGAGCTCCACCCCAGGCTCTTGATTTAGTCTTGGCAGCTGCCCAGCTTGGCATAGAACAAAAAGTGCACACACACACTAGGATTACTAAACAGAGCTGAACAGTGGTTTAGCCATTCTAGCTCCAGAGTGTGAATTTGAGCCTTTTTAGGAAAGGATTTGCAGAACAATCTCACCAATCCTGGGCTTCCAAATTAGTTCCAATTTAACATTTCAAGTGTAACTTTTTATGATAGAAGCAAATAGAAGGCCAGTTTTACTTTGTTATGATTAAAAGTATAATAGCTTTAGTCCCAGTCCTAGGTGGCTGTAGGGATTAAATAAGATAACCTGCTGAAGCCCATTTACAATTGCACCCAAAACCATAAGATACCTAGGAATAAATCTAACCAAAGAGGCAAAGAATCTGTACTCAGAAAACT